CCCAGGTTGTTTATCAGTTAAATTTTTTCATTTGAGACATTCGACTTCAAATGCCAACTAAAATAATTGATTGGAGAGTAATCAATGCCAGGATAATGGATAGCATGTTTGCATTTTCAGCTCTCTACCAATAAATGTACCTGAACAGATTTGCATAAAATCTATAAGTTCAGAGACAGTGAATAAATTCTCCTTTTCAAAAAAATAAATAAATAAATAAATAAAAATTAAAAAAAAAAAATCAAACTTTAAATAATTATGTTTGGAGTTCGTTGCGGAAGATGAGCCAGCCAGACTAGATGGCCCTGAACAAGTCAGAAATATCCATATACTACCATCTTCTACTGGAAGGGTGAAAAGCATTTCAGACGCTATTTACTCTCATTCATCTCCATGAAGTATTATTTAATCAATGTCTCAAATCCAGCTTTCATCGTGGACAACTGGAGCTGAATGATGGAGCTGGATGCTGTAAATGTTGGAGCGGCACAACTGCAAATAGAACCCAAGAGTCCCAGCTCAGGTCCCTACACTAACCTGTAGATACCTCAAGGCTACATGGGAGTTTGAAATCAAGTATGAAATCCAAAGGAAAAAAAACAACCTGTTCATCTTAAATCAGACCCCCTGGGCAAAGTAATACAAGATATGCTTTCAGAGAGGACAAGATTTGGACTGGGACCTGAACTGAAACAGCTATTCACAGGACAGATCATACAATAAAAGTGGAAAAATAAAGGGGTTGGGGGAGGGAGAAGAGTGAAAATGGTCTGTAAATGCTATTTTTTTGGGTTTCATTTGACCAACTGAAATGTTGATGCAAGGGTCATTAAAAGGAGATTTTTCTGAATAGAAAAAGAATCCAACTGAATGCAAGGTGAAAAAAAAAAAGAAGTGAAACCTACAGATGGGATGGTACTGTTCTGACACTGGTGTACGGTGGAAGAGACACAGAACAGCCTAAGCCAAAAAAGATGAAGTTGTTTTCATCTTTATCAATGGACTTAATGAGAGAAACTCTTTCAAAAGCCAATAGCTGTAATGTCTGTTACGTAGGAACATAGTACGGGAAAGGACCTCCCGAGGCCACAGAGGCTGCCACAGGCATGACATCATCCTTTCTGTACATCTGCAATGAGTTCAAAGCAGCCGAGAGTTTAATGGTTCCTGGTACGTTTTGATTGTTGTGTTATACCAAAGAGACTTTCAAAGTGGACACACACAACTGCTGTGAAAATGAGAGTTCAGTCCCTAGGAACCTACTGGACCAATTTGCTCACAAAGCAAATGAATGAGAGGGTTGCCCTTTATTTGATTTAAAGGGGAAAAAAAAAATCCCTGAGCTAGTTCCTCTTCCTGGAGACGGTTGTTCCTACTAAAGGAAGAGAAATGCCCTAGCTGTGTCGCATAATCGGAGCATCTTGCAACTCGAGCAGGCTTCTCTCAATGACCGTACTTAGGGGAATTCCTAAAAGCTATCACCGCATAAACGTAGCTGGTTTCCTCTGCTTTGCAGCGAAATAAGTCTCTCAATGCTACATCCTCTGGTCTTGCTTTCAGAAAGAGTAGAAGGGTGGGGTTTTTTGGGTTTTTTTGCTTTGGCAGCCAAGAGTTCACACTGGAGGACCAAGTGCACTTTGAGTCGGATCCAAAGCTGGCTGAAGCGGATGGGAAGACTCTCCTGGACTGCAGACTACTGAGTCAGACCCTTTAACTGGAAGACACAGGACACATCTAGCATAATTGTTTCCAGGCAAAGTGTCAAAACAGCTGCATGGTGTGTATTAAGCCATACACTATAGATCAAAGAGCAAACAGAAAAGTAACCACGACCACGGGGCACAGGAAGTGGTGTCTGAACTCAAAATAACCTAGCAAGTAGCTGGACTTCTCTCTCTTCTCTATACTTCTGAACAGTCCTGGGAGGGATGCGATGGCAAGAGGGACAGTACTTGACCCTTCTCAGAAGGGCAGAGCACACGGAGGGGAAGGGGGCAGCTAGCTTCTTGGCCAACACCCTCCTGCAGAGATGAGGGGCTGGGCCCAAAGGAATATTTAGGGGCCTTAGAAACAGGATTTAAAGTAGCGTGTCCAAAAACTGTAATCCACAAAGCCCTGCTCAGTGACCGAGTCAAAAAAAATATTAAAAATCAGACACTGCCCTCTTGGATTTGAAGGCCTGCACTTCTGCTTTCTATGTATGCCCACACATGCCCTGGTCAGACCAGCTAGGTAGGTCACCCCTGCCTAAGCCCCACTGGGACTCAGACACTGGCACAGCCGTGTGCAATGTGCTCAGTGCTGAGCTCAGCGAGGCACACAGCACTCCATTCAACCATGCAGAAGAGGAGGAGGAGGAGGAGGAGGATGTGGTGCCACTCACCTTATTATATAATGACCTAGACATTGGAGCACCTCCCGCAGAGGTGGGACACCTGAGTACCTGCCGCCCCTCCTCTTGCATCTAGGCCACTGACCTAAAAACCTGAACTCCTCCCTCCTAAGTATTGCCATAATCACGAAGCTAGTCATAGCCCCTTCTTGCTTGCTCTCCTTGCCCCGTGATTACCCAGAACGCTTGTCTGCTCTATGGCCCTGCTTCAACAGGGGGTGTGGAGGGGGCCTCCGCCTAAATTAGTCTGTAGATGGGTGGCCAGGGCACTGCTAGAAAGCAGGAAGTGGAGGGTTCAATTTCCTCAGGTTGAAGAGGGCCAAAAATCTAGGCCTTGCACTTCCTGGGCACATACTCTAATCACTAAGCTGTTACATAACCAGGTGGACACCAGTGCCACCTCTTCCTGTGAGGCGTACACTTCAGTAAGCAAGCCACTCCTCTGCTCTTTCAAAGACAGCTTACAGCTGCTTATGTAAGAGAGGGAATATCTCACTGTTTCCTGCACCTGAGTGCTTTGCATTTCTTGCTGGGTAGCTCTTGAGGGTGCTCTGCGCAGCATGAAGATTTTTTGGCTAGTCCATCTCTTCCATGCACTGTCTAACTCTGTGCTGTGGGTATAGGTCTAGGAGCCAGATGCTTGGAAGTCGAGCATTGCCGTGCGTAACTTGGAGGAACCTTGCAGCATTATTTCTCAAGGGGTAATGCTTACACACGCAAAAAATGCACCTGAATAAACTCCGGTGCATTCGTGCTGGAGTTTATTGCTCCTCGGCATACTGTTTGCACATGTGCCGAGGACTGCAGCACCTTGGGCTGGGGTGGCACAGCCCTGGCTGGCAGGGGGAATCAGGGGTCAGCCTGCCAGCCTGGGGCTGCTCCAACCTAGCTCAACATGCTGCCGAGGGGCTGGCTGGGGTGTGAAGGTGCTTCAACGAGGAGCTAGCCAGTAGGCAGCCCCCACAATGAAAGTACCCTCACACGCCAGCCAGCCCCATCAGCATCTACATACGTTGTGGCAGAGTAAATAACTCAACCGTAGGATAGTACTTGTGTCTGGCAGTACTATTGTGAAGATGGTATAAAGTAATTAATAGCACCACAAGCATAGATGGCGATGGTCTTACTGTGGAACTAAATTAAGCAACCGCAATAAACATCTCATGTAAATGCACTCAAGGAGGATTTGCTAGGTACAGCTTAGTACTAGAGAAAGTCACCATGTCAACTCTTCTACTGCAGGAAGCTTAACAGTTGAAAAGGCAACGACTTATCTCCACTGGCTACTTATGCCCTGTGCAACCCCACTGTGCAAGGAGCAGCAATGAATTGCACTCAACATATAGACTTAAAACCCTGGACTGGCCAGGCCCCGCAGTTGAGGTCACAGCTCAGTGAAGACGCACAGTGTTAAGTTTGATGCTATATACAGATTTCTAACAAGCTAGTGCACTTCTCCCTTTACAATTTGGCACTTCACATACAATATACGAAAGAGCTATGGTACATGGGTTCATATCCCATATCTGGCATTAATATGGTCCAAAAATGTCTCCCAAGATTCCCTTCTACTGATAAGAGTCACATAGTTTTATCCAAACACTTATTTAATCTCATGACAGCAGTATTCCCCCACTATAGCCCGCAGCAAACACGCACTGGCCGTCACGCTTGCTTGGGAAATGCCATTTGTTCGGATGGAAGTGGAGTACAACCTAAAATGGGAAGAGGCCTAGTCTACAAAAATACAAAGGATTCTTTTTGAGGCCATTTACATGGGGAAAATGGAGGTAGAAAATGGGAGTGGAGGTGCTGAGGAGCCTTATTCAGGTCACCGTTGAAAAAGCCAATGCACCGAAGCCAGTACTCGGCAGAAGAGGTAAGTTATCAGATACCCCATTAGGCCGAGTCGCACACTGGGCCTCTCTTCACCCGTGCTGTACAGGTGATGTAACCATAAATACCTCGGTTAGGAAGTAAGCATGACAGTGGTCACTAAAAGGTCATGTGGAGGTTTCGGTCCTTTTTTGGAATCAGCTGCATACCAAACGTTTAATAAACCAAGCCCCACCAAGAGACTAAAAATATAAATACACACTGGGCAAACAGTTCACAAAGGTTCATCCTCCACACTACTTGCAGTTCACATTATTGTTCAACATACCATTGTGCCATATACCAGCACACTCCATTGCAGGAAACAGTGATATTTCTAAAAAGAAATACAGCTTGAACTATTTAAAAAAACAGCTGCAATCATTACGCATAGGAAGGAGCTGGAACAAAGAAGTTAACATAAGCTCTCAGTGGCAGCTTTTTATTGCCAAAGCTGAGTGTTGCAGCAGCAAGATCTGCTGCAGAGAAGATATTTTAAATTGAAGCTGCAGTGAATAAATGTGTACGAGGTGATGCGATGCAGGATGTTTCGTCTACACGGTAGTGCACAGGACATCTACACTGCAGTTGCAAGTGGGACAGTAGCTTCTGCAGGCGTATGCAAAGTAGCTTACGCTTGTCTACCCTAAGCTGGTTCTGCTGCCAGAACATCCAATAGCAGACAGCAACCCCCTCAGGGAAACTATCCGACCGAGTACAAGCACATCTACACAGCTGACCGCTCCACACAGCAGCTGTGCTGGCAAGGTATGAAGTGCTCCCCAGGAAGGAAGCAGCCTCTGGAACCATAACAGCTAGCAGAAGATGTGGGGGCATCTACATTAGACTTCAGCTGTCAGATGTGGGGAGAGAAGCCTTCTTCCACACTTGGGAGAAGCAGTGCTATTCCCAGTGCTGGCAGGTAAGAGGGGTGCTGCCCCCACAGAAAAGCGTTAAGTGCAATCTCGCTCATATACAAGCTTTGCTGGCAAAACTGCGTAGTGCAGACCAGCCCAGGCAGCCGTGCAGACGGGAGCATGAAGCTCAATGTCATCTAGTTGCTTGGGTGTCTATCCAGTTTCCCAGGTGGGTTTTGCAGTCTACCTTGAGCTCCAGGCTGCAGCACCTACCTGGCTGCTGGGGCTATACCCTCAGGGTAAAAACTCAACCCAGCCCATTTGGCTCACAACTCTGGCCTTGGTATAAATCAGTTAAGGCTAAACTTTTTTGTGGCAGGTGTACCACAAGGGTAGCCCTGCTCCCTCCTCGAGTGCCTTGCCAGTCCCTTTCCCTGGCTGATTGATATACTGCTCTATGCTCTTCTCCCTGCCCTCATCTGCTGCATGCCACACAAAGGGGTTGTGTGCGCCCATACTGGCACAGGTTCCACAGGTTAGCAAATTAAACTTCTGCTCCTTCAGTTTTCTCCTTCTTATACAAGCTTGACTTTCAAGAGATGGGCAAGTCAGAGCACATGCAGCTCTGCTAGCATTCCCAGTACCACTTACTTGTCTCCTCAAATTCTGGATTTAATAAAACCAAAACCCCCCCACTAAAACCCTAGATCAGGGGTGGGCAAAATGGTGGATCTGCCTGGCAGCTGGAATTCAATTTCCTAGCAGCTCCTACTTGCATCGCTGTAGCTGGTTTCCATGGGGACCCCAGGAACAGCGGGGCTGTGACAGTGCGGGCCCAGAGTTTCCATGGAAACTGGCCCCAGCCGCACTGGCAAGGCGTGCAGCTGGGCAGGAAGCTGCTCTGGGGCTGGGGCCTTGTGGTGGTGACAGCGTGGTCCGGAGCTGGGGCAGAGCCACAACCTGCTGCCTGCGGTCAATGGATCACATCTCTGCCCTGGCTCCAACCAAACCACACCACACCACAAGATCCTGGCCCCAGAGCAGCTCCCTGCCCAGCCACATGCCCTGCCAGCACTGTTGGGGCCAGTCTCCATGGAAACCCTTATCCCATGCTGTTACAGCTCAGCTGCTCCTGGGGTCTCCATGGAAACCAGCTGCAGCAATGTGGGCAGGGGCTGCCGGGAAATGGAGTCCGCTGCAGGCCCAATCCCGCCTGCGGGCCAGACTCTGCCTGCCTCTGCCCTAGATAGTTTTTGGGATCAGCAGAAAACGGAGGGACTTCTACACATTGTAGAGTCCACTAAAGCAGGGATTGGCAACCCCTGGTATGTGCGCTACAGCGTGGCAGGCAAGGACATATTTCTTGGCACGCCACAGCCAACTACCAGCAGCTGCCCAGAGCCCGGGCCGGCTGCAGCTGGGAGGCTGCAGACAGCTGCAGGGGCTCTGTGGAGGCGGGAGTGCACATGGAGCTCGCAGCGCGTAGCGGGGTAGGGGCTGGGGCAGCACACCACCGCCCCTCCCCCACCGTCCACCGGGAGGCACGCGTGCAGCCATCACCAGCAACGAGCAGTGGGTCCCTTGTGGCTCTCCCATCTCTAGCACGCCCAGTTGAGACGTGGGTGGAGGTTGGGGTGATTTTGGCACTCCGGCCAAAAATGCCGTCGACTCCTGCACTGAACTATAAACATCCGAAGCCCACCTGCCTTTGTCGCACTCCGTCTTGCGGGAAGTGCTGGCTGGTTTGGGAAGCATCCAGCTCTCCACTGAACTGAGATTTTACTCATTGTTAATCCTTCCTGGCAGCTGCATTTGCCTGGAATTTCCTTACCTGGTCTTTCAGCTCAGACAGCTGGCCAGACAAGTTGGTAACCAGTTTCATGGTAGATTCGAGCTTTTCCTGCAGGTTTCTCAGCTCGTTCTGCTCCCCTTCGGAATCGCTGCTCACGAGCGACATGGCACGCATCCTAGGGAACCAATCAAGGTTTCTTTCCTGCAATTCAGATGGGAGGCAGTTAGTGCTGGAAAAAAAAAAAAAAAAAAAAGCCTGCACATGTGTGTCTGCGTGCCTGCTGCCCTTCAGCGCTATCCCAAGAGTTCTTCCAAGTCACGGGCCTTTTATACTTCAGTCTTTCAGGTTTCTTTCTTTTCTTTTCAACCTTGTTGCATAACTGCCTCCTCAGACAGTCTCATAGCTGCAGCAAGGTACTTGAGATTTGTAAGGGCTGTGTAAAAATAAAGCTTTGTATTATAGCCTTCTCCTTTCCTGGTGCTACACTCCCCTCACCCTTAAAAACTGGGTATATGTCACCACATTATATAATGCTGTACTGTAAGAGTAGCCATAGTAAGACTAGAGAAGCATGAAGCAGGCCTAGGAATCAGCTGCCAGAGTTTAGGAATCTGCTCTCATCAAGTTGTGCGACCCGTCTTGAGATGCACCCGACTCTTCCTTGAGCTACCCTGCCCAAGCCCTATGATAGTGGTTTAATCCAAAAGCTGCTGCCACAGCCAAATGAACAGAATTTAAAGCTACAGGGACATGTAGGGTATGTCAATGTGGCTTCCTCACGGTGGCCTGCTATTAAATACCTTTCGAAAGCGCATGGTTGAGGTGAATGTGCACTGCGTGCTCTCAAGCCGTTTGGAACTGAATTTGTGCTGGTCAAAAATAGTCAGCTGAAAACGAGGGTTTTGTCTACCTATACAAAACTGGACCAAACAACTAGTGTTTGCTGTGGAGGATTTAGACTTTCTAGCCAAAACCCCCCCGCTACTTTCCAACTATTAAAAAAAAAATTCTTGTTCTTAGAAATAGTTTGTTCTCTTTATGAAAAGTTAAACTTTTCCATGGAAAAGCCCACCTTCTGGTTAGCTGTTTGAATCTAGACTCTGATCTGAATTCTCCCAGGTCAAGGGGTTGCGTAGATTAGCAGTTCTAGGTCAGACTTATGAGTGATCCCAAAACTTTACAAGTAATTGCTTTCAGGACACCTCAAGAAGTACACAGCGATGATGTCACACACAAAGCAGCAGTGTAAGAGAAAGCCACAAAAAGCACAAGGGAAGCGTGCTTCACATTGACACCGTCAAGTTGCACTGAACTGGTTTCCTACTTCATCTAGTCTTACTTTCACACTGGGGACACATTTTTAACACAGAAGTTCCACCCAAGAGAGGAACAAGGTAATAAAAATGCCTCCATAGACAAAAGCAGTTTATGCACGGAGTCCTGTGACCTGGTTCTTGCAAGAACAGGAGACTGACCTTGCACTATGAGGTCTCAGCCAGTTCTACGACGATCAATACCCTAAACAAAACCAGGTGAACGCGTTTTGTCCTACCAAATCCACTTCGCTCCAACCCAAAGTTCAGTCAGTGTGGCTTAGTAACACTGAGTACAAGTCACCCTGTTCCCTCCCCGTCCTCCCGACGGGACTTTACATCGGAAGCTTTTGCAACGGGTTTACAGAAAAATATTTTAACCTTTCTCCATGGCAAAATCTATTTTTCATTGCTCTGCAGATCCTTCTCCCCTATTTATGCTGCTCCCCAAACCTTAACCCTCTCATTCAACCCTCCTTCCTTCCCAGCAGCCTCTGTATTACTCTAAATCAGAGAGCTGCTCCAGCTGGGGTAGGTGTGCACATCCTGGAAAGATTTACACCAAATGATACTCTTCCATAGGTCAGACATCGTGCCAGGCACCATCTTCCTAAAGCAGTTATCTTAGAGCTGCCAGTGGTTCCTCAGGCAGTGAAAGGCATGAGTTAGGTCTCCCTTGTGATGCGAGGCAGAAGCTGCGCTGCCAGAGGAGGTCAAGCTTCCCTTCTCCGTTCAAAGGACGCTCTCCAGTCCATGCCAATGAAAGAACACAGGAGTGCCAAGGGATGGTGGGCTTCAGAAAAATGCTCAGGTTAATGCACTGATCACAATCCCAGCTAGGATTTAAACCAGAGTCATCAGCAATAATACTCCTTCCCCTCCAGTGGTAACAACCATCCTAGCTTGGGGGAGGATGTTGGCCTCACTTGTACTCTGAAGCCCAGCATCTCAGCCACTAAATGCTTCTCCTCCCAACACAAACTGAAATGACCACAAGCATCTTCCTCCCCACACTGCCTTATACCATGGACATGTTTCTCTCTCTAGGTAGCCTAGACTCTCCACCAGCATAAGGCCCCGAGGTCTTGCAAATCGGGGAAGGAATTCCCAGCTAGTGGAAGGTGGCAGGGAAGGACAGGCTTTTAATACGAATGCTGACCAGGCTCCACGTCCAGTCACCCACAATTTTTCCCTCCTTCCTTCCACGTCATCTCCAAACGACTCTGCAAATCTCTAGACAACTGTTTCCTGAAAGAGCCGACTACCCAAAGGAGAAGGGAGGAGCGGCGGAAAAGACTGCAAACAGCAATTTGTCCTTATCTGCTAAATTTTGCTAACAGATGTTACAAACATAGTAAACTTTTCTAATCTTTCTGTGCAACGTTAGCATTAGTGATAGCTGCAAGTGCTACAGGGTTGTAATTTGATCACTAGACAGGAAAGCTGGTCTGTATGACCACAAACGGGTGGAGAAACTGAACTGAAAGTGTTGCTAACTTCTGATTTTAGCAGAAGATCCATAATATTTAGTGTTTTCGTGTTTCTTTTAAAGCTCCAGCTCCCGGAATCAGGTGAGTCAGTGAGAATCTTTCTTCTCTTTTAAAGTAGTGTATGTCTAGCCCTAGAGGTTGTCAAGTTAAAAAAAAAAAAAAAAAAAAAAAAAAAAAAATCAAACTTATGACCTACGTGAGCTCTGAAGGCTTAAAAGAGCCCAAGATTTATTGTTTTTGTAAATATCTCACAAGTTTCAAGGGTATGACTCATGTTTTCAAGCCAGCAGTTGGCAACACTTTTATCATGATGTAATCTGTATGCTGAAAAATATTCTGAGAATGACTGCAAAGGGTTAACAGGATATGTAGGAATTCTGTTTAGACAGCTATCCTTACCAGAGCAGCATAGTTGCCATATGTTGGCAATCAGTTTTATATAGCTTAACCACTTCACCGCTGCTTAATTA